GATTTGAAAAATGGTGATACTAGGTTAAGGAAGTTAAGTTTATGTTATTTTCAGTGAGTTAATAATGTAGTAGGTAGTGGGAGAACAGGAAGAAGTTTAAAACAAGTATGTGTTCTGACCTCAGAGAGTGACAAAATAGGAAAAGATATAAAAATACTATTTGGAAGAGTATTCAGGAACACTTCTTTAAAGAGATGAAATGTGAATATTTAAACTTATTTTTTTATTTTAAAGATTTATCTATTTGTATTGGAAAGTTAGATTTACAGAGAGGAGAGAGAGATCTTCCATCTGCTGGTTCACTCCCCGAATGCCTCAACAGCCAGAGCTAAGCCAATCCTAAGCCAAGAGCCAGGAGCTTCTTCCTGGTTTTCCACATGGGTGCAGAGTCCCAAGGCCTTGGGCCATCCTCTCCTGCTTTCCCAGGCCACAAGTAGGGAGCTGAATGGGAAGTGGCACAGTTGGAATACTAACCAATGCTCATATGGAATCCTGGCGCATGCAAGGCGAGGACTTTAGCCACTAGGTTGCTGCGCTGGACCTGATATTTTAACTTATAAACAAATAAATCTTTTTGTATCTATTATATGCCAGGTTTTTTTTAAAAATTATTTCAGGGTCCTTTTGAGAATATTTTTAGTTTGAATTTTGAATTGTGAGGTACAAGTTTGTGTAGGCTGGGATTCCTCCCCAAACTCCGACCCCCGTCAGATTTTTCCCCTTTTGTTTCAATGGTGTAGTCCTTCATAAGGAATCATAATTCTGTCAGTCTCTTATTTACATGTACCCCGTTCAGGGTCCTTTTTATTAAAATCTTACTTAATCCATTTGGATAGATATTTCATGTACATTTAAAATAGACTTTATAAAACGTTGTCTTGCAGTTTTACACATTGTTTTAAAAGCATATAGTCAGGAACTTGATTTTTTTTTAAATCTGAAGTTATTGGTCATATACTTCCTTTATTAGTTTAAATTCTCATGTTTCAAGAATTGGACTCAGTATAGGTAAAAGTAGCAGCTGGCAAAACAAGCCCTTTTGAGCCAAGTTTTCTTTTTCTTTTTTTGTTTTTAAGATTTAATTTTCTTAGGCAGATTTTATAGAGAGAGTAGGAGAGATAGAGAAGGTATTCCATCTGCTGGTTCAATATCCAAATGGCCACAACAGCCAGACTTGACTGAAGCCAGGAGCCAGGAACTTCTTCCGTGTCTCCTGTGTGAAAGCAAGGAATCAGACCTTCCTCCTCTGCTTTCCCAGGCTATAAGCAGAGGTTGAGCATCCAGGACAAGAACAGGCAGGAACCAGCACTCATTTGGGATGTTGGCACCACAGGGTGGATTAACTCGCTGTGTCACCGTATGGCCCTTCTGTGAATCGTTTTGCCTACCACTTTATACAACTCATGAACTAAGGAAGGCAAAGGAATCCTGTTTTGTGATCTGTTAAGATCTGAAATGCTTAATTTTTATTGGCATTCAGCTACATCTTTTTTTTTTTTTTTAAGATTTTTTTGTTTTTATGGGAAAGTCAGATTTATGGAGAGGAGAAACAGAGAGGAAGATCATCTGTCTATTGATTCACCCCCCAAGCAGCACAATGGCTGGTGCTGCACCAATCCAAAGCCAAAAGCCTGGAGCCTCTTCCGGGTCTCCCATGCAGGTGCAGGATCCCAAGGCTTTGGGCTGTCGTCCACTGCTTTTCCAGGCCACAAGCAGGGAGCTGGATGGGAAGTGGGATCGCAGGGATTAGAACTGGCACTGATATGGGATCCTGGTGCGTGTTAGGAGAGGACTTGAGCCACTATGCTACTGCGATGGACCCCAGCCACATCTTTTAATTTATGTGTAACCTATGATGGCTTTTATTTCTATAGTAGCAGTGTTGGGTGATTGTGACAGACTGGTTGGTGCTCTCATTTCTTCAGATTGCTTTTGTAGAACAGATCACATCTTCTTGTTTCAGACTGTTGCATGACAAATCATAGTAATGTAATTAACTCAGCAATGTTTTAACTGCCACATATATTATTATGCTGTGACAATTTTATTTGTTTTATAAGCATCGCTTAACTATCAACAAGAAGAGGAGAGAGAGCAGATTTTGAATGTTGCACTTTTAGGGCACAATGGAGTGTAAACAATTTTGTTTTCAAAATGCGAAGCATTGGATTTATTATGTAGTGAAATTCCAATTGTGCCAAAAGAATGCAATAAAAAATATTATGCTATGTACTCGTGATATTCCCAATTCACTGAAAAGTAATGGTAATTAAAAATTAGAAAATTTAAAATGGAATATCTCATCATTGCAGAATTTCTTCAGAAAAGTAAAAAATGAAAATGGGGCTTCAGTCAAAGTAAGTTTCTAAGTGGCTTATTTGTTTGTGAAGCAACGAGAGCCATTTACTAATGGTGAGTCAATGAAATTCTGTTTGATTACAGCAGCAGAAAAAGTATGTTCTGGTATATGTTTAAAACTAGTAACCTTTCAGCAAGAGAGCAGTTTCTTGGAGAGTTGAAAATTGGAGCAAAGTGAATAGTCAATTTTTAAAAAGTCAGATCATTTCACATAGTCTTCCTTGGCTCTTGATGAGTTGACAGCTAGTACTGATATGTGGTTTGATGAGTCAGCGCTAAACTTGATATTACCAAATAGTTAGCCTTTATGATTAGTTGTCTGTGTGGAACAATTTTAGGTGAGAATATTTTCTCACAGAAGTTAGGGACATACTAATTCAGTACAACCTGAAGTGGAATCTGCTACGATGTGTTAATATAACTGTTGGTGGTAAAAATACTGTAAGGCTGTTAAATCTGTGATTATTGTTTTATTCAAGAGCAAATATTTGGAAAGCTTTACCTGATTCTCTCATTGTGTTGTTGAACTTGTAGCATCAAGGGAAATTTTGTATGTACTCATGGATTTAACCATTGTCAGTTATATGAACTTTTGTCAAAGACTGAATATCTTGGCTTGTCCTGCCACACAACAGGTGGATGTCACAGTGGTTGTAACCAGGTTTTATTGTGAACTCAGGGTCCAGATGGGACTGTTTCTGAAGGGTTGGAGCCACCTGCAGCCATCACTGAGTAGCTGTTGAAGTTGTTTTACTGATGACTTGGTAGCAGTTTATAATGATTTTAGTATCAGATCACAAGACAAAAGAATGCATGCATGCAAAACCTAGCCTGAGAAGTCATTTGTAAAACAACTAACGTAAAGATGAAAAGTAAATTTTCAAAAAGTGCTCTGAAAACTTTGAACCTCTTAATTCCCATAGAGCTATACAACAGATATGTGGTCTTAATCTACAGTTCCAGTGTCATTTTTGAGATCTCAGTCCAAGTGCAAAGGAGAGTTCCATGTTGCTAAGCTGTTTAACTGGATGACTGAGGAACTTCCACTAGTCTTCAATTGGAAGTGATTAATTTGCAATATAATGACATGCTAAAAAGCAAAATTCAAGAGAAAAATCTAATAGAATCACATAAATCCCTTCCAAACAATGAATATGTTCAATTAAAATCATGCACTCATGAATTGATATCAATATTTGGTAGTACCCATCTGTGTTAGAAGATATTTTCAAAACTCAGACGTACAAAATCTGATTTCAAATTAGCATAAGAGGTTAGCATTTATAGTTGGCTAATGGCAGAGAATGCAGCTGTAAACTTGAGTTCGGTGACTGATTATGCCCTTTCCCCAAGTCTCATTCTGTTCATTGGTCAACATACTTTACCAAAAACTGTGCTCAGATGTTACTATTTTCTTCAATTAAAGGTTTGTGGAAATTTCTTTTCTTTTAATGGTGTAAGCTTAATTTTGCCTTTTTGCCTACAAAGCCTAAAATATTTGCTACTGAATCTTCTATAGAAAAAAATTTGCTAATTTTTATGTTAGAGATGGTGGTTTTTCCTATATAATCTCTTCAAAGATGTCAACAGATTTCCCATGCCCCATCATCCCGTTAGCAATAAATCTGCAGTGAAAGAGTACAACACAATTTGCAAACAATTTTTTACTGCAAAATTATTTCTATATGTTTGTGTTTCTTTGGGATTTTAATACAAAGGCAGATTTGCAGAGTGAAGGCCAGACAGAGAGAAAAAGATCTTTCTTTTACTGGTTTACTCCCTAAATGGTTGCAGTGGCTAAAGCTAAGCTGATCCAAAGCCATGAGCTTCCTCTGAGATTCCTACATTGGTGCAGGGGCCCAAGTTCTTTCATTCATTGAGCCATTCTCTATTTCTTTTCCCAGTCCATAAGCAGGGAGCTGGATTGGAAGTAGAGCAGCTGGTACCAGAACCAGTGCCCAAATGAGATTGGCTTTGGCAGGTGGAGGATTAGCGTGTTGATCCACCATGCTGGCCTCACCAAAGTTAACTTTTGGTTTCAATTTTCTATAGACTTTGAAGTACTTTCATGTTATAAATGAGGATGGTCTTACAAATGATTATCTTTTCAAAAATAAACATGAACACTTTACTGCTTATTTAGATTGGCATGATGAGACACTGAGAATCAATTCAAATGATATAATTTATGAATTGTCAGTGTCAGCTTATAAATTTAATTGGTTTTTCAGTTCTCTAGAAATACAAGTTTACTTGAAAAAGTTGCTACAAAAATGCAGTTAAATGAAGAGTTCATTTTAGTGCAAAAAACTTTGAAACTCATGCATTTTTTAAAAAAGATTCTATTTATTTTTATTAGAAAGTCAGATATGCAGAGAGGAAGAGAGGCGAGAGGAAAATCTTCTGTCCAGTGCTATATGAAATTCACTGTTTTTCTGAGTGGCTTATCATATAACAAAGGGAAAATATGAGTTAAGTATGGGTAAAGATTGAAATTTATCTGTACATATCACGTTTAGAGAAATCCCAAATTGAGAATGTTTTCTTGCATTTGTTTATTGTGTATCATTTGGCATGATTTTTTCAATATATTTTAGAATCTTAATATCTGATTTAGCTTTGATTTCAATCTTATTTTCTAGATGAAGCATTGGATGATTTAAAATCCCAGAAGAGAAAAATAGTAAGTTAATATTTGTTGAAAGTTATATGTTACATAAACTAAGTTAAAACTGAGTAATTAATGTTTATATGTTATAAGTTGTTGATTCTCCAAGGAACAAGTGTGCTTTTAGTAAGCATTTTCATTTTCTTTGGAAAGCACGTTTAGAAGGGGAGAGGGAGAGACAGATTTTTCGTCGGTTGATTTACTCTCCAAGTGGCTGTGGTAGCCAGGACTGGTCTGTATTTAGAAGGCAAGGAGCCACAAGCTTCTTCCTGGCCTCCCAGATGGTATCAAGGGAAACCTTCTTCCACTGCTTTCCCAGCCTCATTGCCAGGGAGCAGGTTGGGAAACAGAGTAGCCGGGTCTTGATCTAGCCATGGCTTCACCTACTACACTGCAACACCAGCCCCTTTTGGGAGCATTTTGATGACAAAATTAAACTTTTTTGAATTCTTTTTTATTTAATGATTAACAGAAATAAAGAATTTAGATGAGCTTTTAAAATTTTGAGAATTTATATCCTGTGTGAGCTTATGAACCATATTGGAAGACAAAATGGAGCAAAAGAGGATAAAAAGGTAGGTGCCCAGATTATTTAACAGAGCCATTAAGGGACGCAACCTTCTGTATAGGTCAGTTCTGTGTTCTTGACAACGTGAGGCCAAGGGAGTGGCTATCAAGAATACCTCAGAAATAGTGGGCATTTGACTCCACAGGGAAACGGCTGCATGAGATGCCTGCATCCCTGGCCCTGCTCTTCTTTCTAGCTAGTCCTGCTAATGTCCACCCTGGGAGGCTCAAGTGCCTCACTGCCTGTCACTCACACAGGAGACCTAGATTGAGTTCCTGGTGTTGGCCTGGCCTAGTTGAGGAGTAAATTGGCACGCAGAAGATTTTGGTTTGTCTTTCTACCTGTCTCTACCTTTCTAATAAACTTAATAATCGAAAAAAATTGAAAACATGCAAGTTTAACAGCTTACCAGGGCACTGATGTGTGTTATGTTAAACTGCTTTTCACCTAAGTCTTTTCTCTAGTTTTGGCAGAGATCATAACAAAGGATGGGATTTGTCAGATGTGTGGCTGATATCATGGGAGTGGCTATGCTTCTGAATCTTCTTAACTGCACCTTCTGGGCGTATTACATAATGATTACATGCATATCTGTTATGGAGCCAGTTAACAGCTTTGGAAAAGGACCAAGTACAATAAATGAGATAAGACCTTAAGTGTTGAAAGGTTGATATGTGAGGTTGCTTCCAGAACTTTGAAGAAAAATGGAATTATAACTTTTTGTATATAAAATTTGAAATTTGTGCATGTGTCTGGTGTAGTGGTAAAGTTGCTACTTGAGTAGTAATTTGTATCCCGTATTGCAGTGACTGGATTGAGTCCTAGCAACTCCTCATATAATTTCCTGTTAGTGTCCGCTCTGCAAGGCAGAAGGTGAAGTACTTGGATATTAGCATCCGCTCCACAATGGCCACAACTGAGCCCATCCAAAGCCAAGAGCGAGAAGCTTCTTTCACGTCTCTCACAAGGGTGCAGGGCCCCAAGGTGCTGGGCTGCCATCTATGGCTTCCCCAGGCCACAAGCAGGGAGGTGTATGGGAAGTGGAGGAGCAAGGACATGACACGGTGCTCATGAGATCCAGGCATGTGCAAAGTGAGGATTTTAGCCACTGAGCCATTGCACTGGACTGCCCCCCAATATATATATATATATATATTTAAAGATTTATTTATTTATATTGGAAAGCAGATTCACAGAAAGAAGCAGAGACAAAAAGAAAGATCTTCCATCCACTGGTTCACTCCTCAAGTGGCCACAATGGCTCGAGCTGAGCCAACCCAAAGGCAGGAGCCAGGAGCTTCTTCCAGGTCTCCCACATGTGTACAGGGTGCAGGGTCCCAAGGCTTGGACCATCCTCTACTGCTTTCCCAAGCCACAAGCAGGGAACTGGATAGGAAGTGGAGCAACTGGGACTTGAACCTGCATCCATATAGGATCTCACCACATGCAAGGTGAGGAATTTAACCACTAGGCTACACTGTGCCAAGCCCCAAAATACATAATTTTTATAATATGCAATTTTTTCCCGTGGACTTTTGCAGGATCCTATGTTTTTTCCAATAATTTTTTTAAAGATTTATTTATTTTTATTGCAAAGTCAGATATACAGAGAGGAGGAGAGACAGAGAGGAAGATCTTCCATCCAATGATTCACTCCACAAGTGACCGCAATGGCCAGTGCTGTGCCAGTCTGAAGCTAGGAGCCAGGAACTTCCTCGGGGTCTCCCACACGGGTTCAGGGTCCCAAGGTTTTGGGCTATCCTTGACTGCTTTCCCAGGCCACCAGCAGGGAGCTGGATGGGAAGTGGAGCTGCCGGGATTAGAGCTGGCGCCCATATGGGATCCCGGGCGTTCAAGGCCAGGACTCTTAGCTGCTAGGCCACTGTGCCGGGCCCTCTTATAATTTTTTAAAGTGTGCAAACAGTGATTGCCAGGGCCACTATGGTAATTCTGCAGGTTAATGTCCTGCGTGTGGTTCTAGCATCTCATCTGAGCGGCAGTTAGAGTCCTAGCTTCTTTGTTTCCTGGGAAAGTATTAGAAAATGACCTAAGTCCCAACCCATGTGGGAGACATGGATGGAGTTCCAAACTTTGATTTGGCCTGGTCTGCCTTTGCTGTTACAGCCAATTTGGGAGTGAATCAGCAGAAAAAGAGCTTTCTGTCTCTGTCTCCCATTCCCCATGTAGCATTGCCCTTCAAATAAGTATCTTTAGCAACAAGAAAAAGGTAATTGCTTAGAGTATTATCATGATTTATGAAAATTTTCCTAGTGAAATTTAATGGAGTGAAATTGATCAGTGTATTTTAGCCTAGAATGTGATGAGTAATTATGTATAAAATTAATAAGATTATGAAGGTTAAGATTAATGTTAAAATATTTTGTGAATCAGTAAAGACTATAGTTTTGGTGTTAAATACTTGAAAAGTAAACTTTAATTCTGAAAGTGTTCCTTCTTTAGGTTTGTTATACTTCTTCAGTGTTTTGTGAAATATTTTCCAAAACAGCATTGGCGATTTTCGGTTGTCCTCAGTTGAAATACAGGATATGCTCATTATACTAGTATGTTTATCATTCTGCACGTTTTGGAAGTTCGGAACTTCCAAGCCGTGAATTGTTGATAGTCTGAGTGTTGTAGAAGCTGTGTTATGATTGGTTTGAGTTTTTGATGAGATGATGAGAGGAACCAGGAGTACTGCTGCTCCTACTAAAATGGACTGAAACTCGTTACATTGCAATACTGCTGTACTACCATTTTATCTGTGGTTTTTCTATGCTCGATCTTAGCCAAAAGGCCAAGAAGTGATTATCGATTTTTTTTTTCATGGTGTTAATTACACATGCTCCGTAGTAGGCCAACAGTATATGGAAATTCCAGAAAGAAATAATTAATAGTTTTAAATCTTTATTTCAGGACATTGTTTTAATTATTTTTAGTGTTACTGTGTTCCTACTATGCCTAATTTATATACATGTGTACATGTGAAAGTATATTTCACAGAGGGTATGGAGAATTTTCTGTGCAAGCATTGGAATCTACACATATGGTATGCATATGATTCAACTTTTTGAGTCTCCCTGTGTACATAGATTTCAATTCTTTTTGCGCCACAATGAGCTTTGATTCCGTTTTCTAAAAACTACTTTTACACATAGAAAAATAAATAGTGTGTATTTTTTTGAAGATTTATTTTTATTGGAAAGTCAGATTTACATAGAGAGGAGAAGCAGAAAGAAAGATCTTCCATCTGCTGGTTCATTCCCTGTGTGGCCACAGCAGCTTGAGCTGCGCTGATCCGAAGCCAGGAGCCAGGAACTTGCTCCAGAGCTCCTACGTGGGTGCAGGATCCCAAGGCTTTGGGCCGTCCTCCACTGCTTTCCCAGGCCACAAGTAGAGACTGGGTGGGAAATGGTACATCTGGGACAGGAATCAACGCACCCTTATGGGATCCTGGCACATGCAAGGTGAGGACTTTAGCTACTAGGCTACTGCGATGGGCCCCATAGTACATGCTTGTTTTTGGTGCTACCTGCAATGTCAGGCATCCATGGAAGTCTTGGGATATTCCCCCTCGGTGTAATAAAGTGAGGCTGTTCTAGAAAAGACAAGGAAGAGAAAAAATGAAAAAAAAATTAGAACAAAAAATTCAAAATGTTTAGAAACAGACGTCACATGATCAGTCACTTCCCAAATGACTTCAGTGGCCACAGCTGCTGCGCTGGTCTGACACCAGGAGCCAGAAACTTTCTTTTTTTTTTTTTTTTTTTTTTGCTAGAAACTTTCTGTAGGTTTCACACTGGGTGCAGGGACCTAAGCACATGGCCCATCCTCTGCTACTTTCCCAGGTCATAAGCAGGAGGCTGTTCAGGAAGTGGAACAGTTGAGACACAAAGTAGTGTCCAAATGGGATGCTGTCCCTGGAAGGTGGAGGATTAGCTGATTATACCACCACAAACGCGCTGGTAAAGTAAATCTGTTTAAAAAGGTTATTACACATTTTATTTTAAAAAATTTAATTGGAAGAGGGATAGAAACAGAGAGGGCATAAATGAGAGAGAAGAGAGCAAGCTCTTTTAATTTTAATCTCCCATGTTGTTGAATGGGACCGAAATTCTTGAGCCTCGTCTGCTTTCTCCTAGATTGCTCATTGGTAGGAAGCTGAATTCTGAATTTGGGCATAAAAGTTGAGAAGTTCAGTTCAGAGATTAGTAGCTCTTTGTATTTAAATGGTTCATGAGACGTCAACATTATGGAATGGTTCAGTATAGCATCTCTTGCAGTATGACTAAAGAAAAATGAATTGGCGTTGCATTGACTTGGTTGTAGTTGGTTATAATGATCTTGTTACTGGGAGCTCGTTTGTGGTGTTTATAGCTTGAAGCCTTTTCAACATTGAGTAGCTTTACACTTTGGAGCAACTTGTGTCAGGGGTGACTTAGGAGCACAGTGCTAGTAGTGAGATACAAAGAATGTCACATTTTTAAGCAAAAAGTAAGCAAGCATCAGCAACTTACTCTGTTGGTATTTAAGTAGAGACACTACCCTTATGTTTTAAAAATGTTTTTATTGTTGAATTGCCTATAGGAAAAGTAACACTATAAATAAAAAAGTTTTCATATATATGTTCCCTGTTGCTTTGACGATTTCTTTTGTATGTACTCCTGTTTTCACCAAAATCAGTGCAAAAAGAAAGAAATTCTGTATATCTGAATATTTGTCAAAAACTAAAGATTAATCTTAGGGCAAATAATGCTTTGTTAAGTATTCTAAAATTTTAAGAGTGATCATTTCTGGGTCCGGTGTGGTAGCCTAGTGGCTACAGTCCTCACTTTGCATGTGTCAGGATGCCATATGGGTGCTTGTTCATGTCCCAGCTGCTCCAGCCAGCTTCCCTGCCTGGGAAAGCAGTCAAGGATGGCCCAAAGCCTTGGGACCCTGCATCCATGTGGGAGACCTGGAAGAAGCTCCTGGCTTTGGGTTGGCTCAGCTTGGGTCATTGCAGCAACTTAGGGAGTGAAGCAGCAGGTGGAGGATCTTTCCCTCTGTCTCTCTCTATGTATATCTGACTTTACAATAGAAATAAGTACATCTTTAAAAAGGGGTGATCATTTCCATGTTATCTGTGCATAGAATTATCTTTCAGTATATGAAGTTCTTTTTTTTTTTAAGATTTCATTTGTTTATAAAGGCAAAGTTACGCACACAGAAAGGAGGAGACAGGTCTTCCATCTGTTGATTCACTCCCCAAGTGGCCTCAGTGGCTGGGGTTGGGATAAGACTATGCCAGGACCTGGAGTTCTACCCCATTTCCCATGTGACTACTGGAGTTGAGGACGTGTGCCGTCTTTCTCTGCTTTCCCAGATGCATTAGTAGGGAGCTGGATAGGAAGTGGCACAGCTGGGAGTTGAACCTACGCCCATATGGATTGCATTGCAACAAGTCTTAAGTCGCTAAGCCAAAATTGTGGTCCCCTAGAAAATTGTGTGGACTTTAATTTTGTGTTAGGGTCCTTTCAACATTTTCTGTGATGAATAGGTTCTATTATATAAAAGTAATTTTTGTTACTGAAATAGATACTCATCACAGTGTAGATTCATAATAATAACATAGCGTATCTTTTAAAATTCAAAAGCTCCTGAAACTTTTATTTTATACTAAAAATGATCCACTTTTAAATTTTATTATTATTTATTTTAAATGTTTTATTGTGAAAATATTACTAGGTAGCCAATGCTTCGACTTTAATAATTCCCCCAAGTTCCGATTTCTCTTTCATTAACCCTGAGATAACTTGGACATTTGGAAAAACTGTTTACATTCACCCTGAGTTGTGGAGGTGTCACTGAAAATTGTTTCCTTGCTAGTTACTGCTGTGGACTCTTTCCTCCTACATTATTGTACAATAGTATGAACAAAATATTGATATATCGACCTTAACAAAAGGAGAAGCTGAGACCCAGACTTGCTGTTGTGATTTTAAGAATGGATATAAATATACTTTGATTCCAGATTTTTTTTTTTTTACTAAAATATCAAGTTCATGTTCTTTTCATTGATAATAGCATCTCTTTAAAGTACATCATTCACTTAAAATGTGTGGATAAGTGTATTAATTGGGCCATTATGTGGAAACTTTTTTTGAGTAGTAAATAAAAAAGCAAAATTTCATTTATAATTTTCAATACTTTAAAAAAATTATTTTAAGATAAAGGAAACAGACATACCCATAAATACTAAACAGATAAACTGCAAGGCATGATAATCATTTGATGAAGCATTATTCTGGTCTTGAGTTTTGGATGTTGCTTTAAATATCACAGTTGTTGCTGGTCTGTATTTTATACATAGCAGTACTCTTAGTTTAGATCTGTATTCAAATTTAAATTTATGTTACTTAAAAAGAAATAAAAGAAGAAATTCAGTTCCTTAGTTGTACAAGCAGCAGTTCAAGTGCTTAAAATAGTTCAGTGGCTACTGTTATGTCTGCCTAGACATAACATAATGCTTTTGTTGCATAGCGTTTGTCTAAAGTCAGATGTCTAATTTAAGATTGGGATTTAGTTCTTTGTTGTTCCATGAAAGATTGTATGGATTTGGGAATAATCCAAAGTTATTCTCCCTTTACTCTCATTTCTAGTATTTTGCCCCTCAATTCTAAAGTGTTATGAATTAAGTTCAACTTGTATATTCTGAGAATTTATGATAATTTTGAAATAACTGAAACTGTTAATTTCATAAATCAGTATTAGTAATCATTCATTTAAACACTTCAACTTCTTAAATATTAGATTGCGTGTTTAATGAGCAATCTGTTAACTACTGTTGTGGCAGCATATTTTGCATTACATTTCTAGCAGTTAATGTGTTCTGGGTTACATTTAAGCAATGTGTCTTTTAGAACGGATACGATATTTAATGAGAAGGAACATGTCCTGTTTCAATTTTTACACTTCAACTGTTTGTCATAACTATGTCTTGTACTGAAGTTCGACCTCCTCTGATATTGGACTGTAATTATGAATTGATACTTTACTAGTGATTACTTTTTAAATTAAACTCCTGTATTAAGTTGTAAAGTGACTTGAGTGCATTGTAAATACAATGCCATAATAATAATAAATTGTTTTAATTGTAGTCCCTAGTGTAAGAATATGACTCAGTAAAATTTTTACTTAAATTCTGTGTTTAGTTCTTTCCTTTAAAGTTTGAATGTAAGTAAAAAAGTGAGTGGTAACTTAGTTTTTATAGTCATTTGAGAAAATTCCATGGCTGCTCTCCCAGCTAGTGCGTTTTCCCGGCATTTGCAGCAAGCTAATTGCTTCTGCTAATAAATAATCTAAAATCGATGCTGACAGCATTTAATTGGCACAGAGATTTTATTTTGTAAAGCTCTTGGCTAACGACCTTCTTTAAATTAATGGCATTAAGTGCTATGAGGAAATAAATCTGAGGAATTGCCTGTCATTTGCTTGTCATGTATAATAACTTCCAATAATGATGGCTGATAGATTTTTGCCTATTCCATTATTGAAGTTGGTGCATGTAATTATTCTCCTCATTATATGTAAACAATTAGCAATATATGGCATTTTCTTGCAGTAAGGCTGTTAAATACAAGTAACATATTAGAGGTTAGTAGCTGTTTTAAATCTGAATTTTAATTATTTATTTGTAGGAAGTCTTTAATTGTGTCTTGATATAGTCTATGCTGCTTATTTTAAGCCTTGTATCTGTATACTTTTTGAATAGAGCTTATAGAAATATGAGTAGTGACTGTTTTAAAATGTGACAATTTATGGAAAAATTTGTTGTTTGTAGCTGGAAGAAGTCATGGAAAAAGAAACTTATAAGACGGCTAAATTAATTCTTGAAAGGTTTGGTCCAGACTCAAAGAAAGCAAAGGTAAGGCTCCAGTATCACTATTATTATAAATTGCACGTTGTAATAGGTCACTATAGTAACATTATCATAATTGACAGGAGTTTGAGCCGCCATCTGCTGGAGCAGCTGTAATTTCAAGACCTGGACAAGGTAAATAACTTTGTAGAAACTGCTGCTCCTGTTGGAAAGATCCGTATTTTCCCAAGTGAGTTCTAAAGTGTGTTGGTGGTGTGTAAAAGCATTTGTAGAATGTTTTTATGTTACTTTGTATTTGTTTGATTTGGATTATGACTTGAGGCAGTAATTGTGTTTTATTTTGATATTAGGGAACATATGTTAAATAAGGTGTTAAGTCAATTGAAATTAGATATATGATTGTTTTTTAATGTTTTTGAAATTTTTTCACCAATATTTTGTTAGATTTTCCCCATCAAATAATAATCTCTTAGAATATCTCTTATGATTAAGGTAATTAAAATTAACTTTAAATTACTTTTATGTATGTAGTGAAAATATCTGACAAGCTTTATTTTTCTTCCAAAATATTTTTTAAGAAGTACTTTAGAAATGAGAAAAAGAATTGAATTATTGCAATGCAATTATGTTATCTGTTATGTAGTTTGTGTTAGTATATTAGTAAAGCCATGCATTATATCATTAAATAGTGCATAAAATTTTAAGCATCATTGTTTTGGTTGTAGAGAATTGTCCCACGTTTGGCCTGTAGAAGAGTATTTGAATTTGCATTGGCTTTCATCTTTGTTCTTTTCTCTAGACTGTTACAGTTTGTAAGGCTTTTATTCTAATATATAATATGCTACTTAAATTAACTGCCATTCTTTATAGTTCATTAGAATTGTGGCCTAGTTTGTAAAGTAAGGATTATGCTTAGAATTTGGAAAAGATAATCCTTTTATAAATATCCACAAGGTCATGGATAGTATAGAAGCAGTAATGCTTTTAGATTTTTTTTTATTAGACAGACCTTTGTGGGAGGAATCCCCTTTTCCATCTTTCTGAAAGTAGGGTTTTGGTTTTTAAAACTTTTAGCTTGCTCTTTTATTTTTTTTCAATCTACTCTTGATAAAAGTAAAGGTTATATAACTAAAGTAATCATATGAGGGGTCTTCACATTTTTCATGGTAAATGGAATTTAGAGAAACTTATTTTGATATAAAAAATTGAAATTCATACACATGAATTTTAATCTTTAAAATGTAGCATATACTTTTAGAAAGGTTTATTTATTTATTTGAAGGGTAGAGTTACAGAGGTAGGGAGAGAGAGAGAGAGAGAGAAAGAGAAAGACTTATCTTCCTTCTGCTCATTCACTCTTCAAATGGCCACATGCTGCCAGGCTGAAGCCAGGAGCTTGTAACTTCAGCCAGGTCTTTCACGTGGGTGACAGGACTTGAGCCGTCATCCTCTGCTTCGCAGGCACATCAGCAGAAGGAGCAGAAGCAGAACAGCCAAGACTCAGCCTAACGCTCTGGGAGGAAATGCTGTTGGCACAGGCGGAGACTTAACAATGTGCTGCACCACAGCACCTCTCTCCAGTTGTGATCTTATTTTACTAGCTCTTGCATATTTTTTAAAAAGTTTTATTTTTATGGGAAAGTCAGATTTACAGAGAGAAAGATCTTCCATCCTGTGGTTCACTCCCAAAATGGCTGCAATGGCCAAAGCAGAGCCGATCCAAAGCCAGGAGCTTCTTCTGGGTCTTCCACACAGGTGCAAGGTCCCAAGGCTTTGGGCCATCCTGTACTGCTTTCCTGACCCATAAATGGGGGAGTTGATGGGAAGTAGAGCAGCTGGGATATGAACTGGTGCCCGTATATGGGATCCCAGAACATGCAAGGCGAGGACTTAAGCCACTAGGCTACTATGCTGGGCCCTGGTTTTTGCTTTTGTTGCTGGGTGGCTAATAATACATAACTTTGCTGAGATTAATTATAAATTTTTAGGATAATATTCTTTGACTTAGGTTTTTCATGAAAAGGAACACCATGCTTATTGGAAAGTTAACCTATCCAACCCGACAACCTCCTAACCCCTTTTAGTAGATTCTTTTTTTTTTTTAAGCAGCTTTAGGGTTACAGAATGTACTGTTAATCAAACTTCATAGTTTATGGAAGTTTTCTAGTTTTTACTTAATGTCCTTTTTCTGTTCCGAGATCCCATCCCAATACCACATTGCATTTAACTATTGTGTCTTAAGCTGTAATCGCTTCTCAGATGTTCTTTGTATTTGATGATGTTGATAGTTGTATCCTGCTCACGTTTTAAAATTTTATTTTTATTGGAAAAACAGATTAGATTTATGGAGAGAAGGAGAGACAAAAAGATCCTCCAGCCACTGTTTCACTCCGTAAATGGCCACAATGGATGTATCTGAGCTAAAGCCAGGAGCCTGGAGCCTCCTCCTGGTCTCCCATGCAGGTGAAGGGTCCCAGGGTCTTGGACCATCTTCTACTGTTCTCCTAAGCCACCTGATCACTTGTTATAAGAAATCATTAATCAATGGTGTTGATTCTTAGAAAATCAGTGTCATTGTTTGCTGTGGAGGAATAAACATTAAAAAGGATATCTGTGTTTATGCACATTAAATAGTGATAGTTTTATGGAAATCATGGATGGGCTTGAAGATAGAAAGACAACCTTATAGATTAAAAATGAATAGTTTTTGTGTTTATATTTTTAAATAATGGAGTTTGTCCCATTATAAATTCCTGAAAAGGACACATTCCTTTTGTAGAATATAGAAATCTAGCTATTTGGGGTGGACAAAAAATTAAATTTCTATCTGTATGTATGTATTTTAAAACATGTATGAGGCAGAGAGAGATCTTCCTTCCTCTGGTTTGCTTCCCTATTGTCTGCAATGGCCAGGCTGAGGCCCGGAACCGGAAGTCAGGAGCTTCACCTGGGGCTCCCACATGGGTGCAGAGATCCTGGTAGTTGGGCCATCTGCTGCTGCTTTCCCAGGGAGTTGGGTCAGAATTAAAGCAACTGAGACTTGAACTGTTGCTCACTGGGGTAACAGTGATGTAGGTAGGTAGCAACTTAAGCCACAGAGTGGTACTGCCAGCCCCAAAATTAACTCTCTTTTCAAGGTTTTATATGTAGAAGTAAGTTTGATTGTTATGCTCTGTTTGGTAAATGTTTATGAATGTCTGTAATTAGTTACAGGCCCTGAGGACATAGTAATGAACAAAATAAACAAAAAGTTATTTTTTTCCTAAACCCTTTTTTACTACCAATAAAACCCAGTGCCCAAGTTCATTTTAGGCAAAATAAGATAATTCTTTGCCCACTTTTGAATGAGCGTTGTCTGATACCACACAGCTGTGTATTGGCATTGACGGAGTCAACAATGAAGTAGAGAACTGTAAGGGAAAGTTCACACTCAGACATGAAGCCAATGTTCCTCCAGACTGACCCTCTGCCAATCTGGAGATTCTGTTGTTTTCCTTGAAAAAAAATTCTACATTTATTATTACTCTGTTTTAAAAAATATTTATTTGAAAGGCTCCTGGGACTGGGCTAGCGCAAAGGAAAGAACTGATAGCCTGGACCCGGTGTGATAGCGTAGTGATTAAGGTCCTTGCCTGGCATGCCTGGGATCCCATATGGGCGCAGGTTCTAATCCCGGCAGCTCCACTTCCCATCCAGCTTCCTGTTTGTGGCCTGGGAAAGCAGTCGAGGATGGCCCAAAGCCTTGGGACCCTGCACCCGTGTGGGAGACCTGGAAGAGGTTCCTGGCTCCTGGCTTCGGATTGGCTCAGCTCCAGTCGTTGCGGCTGCTTGTGGAGTGAATCATTGGATGGAAGATCTTCCTCTCTGTCTCTCCTCCTCTCTGTATATATGACTTTCCAGTTAAAAAAAATCTAAAAAAAAAAAAAAAAAAAAAAGAACTGATTGCTTGTTCTGCGCCTCCCAGTGGGTGCAATGGGGCCCAAGGACTTTTGCCATCCTCTGATGCCTTCCCAGCTCAATAGGAAGTGGAGCAGGCAATACTTCAGCTGTTGATAGTCTGCACAGGGCATCAATACTGCAGGCCGTTTCTTAACTTGCTGCACCTCAGTATTGGCCCCTGCATTTATTTATTTTGAAAAGATTTATTTTACTGAGCCTGGCCTGGTAGCCTAGCAACTGAAGTACTGGGCCTTGCATGCACTGAGATCTCTTATGAATGCCAGTTCTAATCCTGGCAGCTCCACTTCCCTTCTAGCTCCCTACTGGTGGCCTGGGAAAGCAGTGGAAGATGGCCCAAAGCCTTGGCTCCTGCACCCATGTGGGAGACCCGAAAGAGGCTCCTGGCTCCTGATTTCAAATTGGCGCAACTCCAGCTGTTGTGGCTGCTTGGGGGGGGGTGAATCAGCTGACAGAGCTTCCCCTCTGTCTCTCCTCCTCTCTGTGTATCTGACTTTGCAATAAAAATAAAATAAATCTTTTTTTAAAAAGATCATCTTATTTACATGAAAGAGTGACAGAGTATGTGTCATTTTGTTATAGAGTTAGTCTTCCCTTATGGAACTTTGTTACTGGAAAATGGATAACAGGAGAACAGAAAGGGGACAGAGTGACAGCCAAGTTCTTGTCCCTAGTGAACATCCTTTCACAAGTGGGAAGTAGTATATGTTGCCATAACCAAATGATCTTTCAGAGTTGCCATCTGGGGCTCCCTTTATGTTCAACTCCTGCGGTGTTACTGCAGTCTGTTGCATGAGACATGGGTGTCTCAGAACTGTGCTCTGCTGGGATGTTTAAACACAGACCAAGAAGAACCACATCAAATTTGGAGGGCATGATGGTACACGTTTTTCTCTCTAGTTCTCTGCTCGATTGGGTGTCTCACATAGAGATCTAAAATATGTAAAGAGGAGTATATTAACTTAAAAAAATTATTACTGGAGACAGTGGAGAGACTTCACAGACAAGATTTAAATTAAGTGGTCTAAGTTAAGTTTGCCATTGATAATTTGTCTTGGTATTGTGTACCTCCTGATAAATACATTAGATGGGCACTGCTTAGCCTCTGGGGAATTCTTACACAAAACCTATTGCCCACTCTTACGAGAATAACATTAGGCAGTTTCTAAATGAGGGACATAAAACACCTAAATAGACTTCTTCAAAACTATTGAGAC